TTGTGCTCAGAGATCAGGAAATGTTTCTTTGGTTAGGCTAATTAAGTAAGTCTTAAAACTCGAAGACTGCTTCTCATATTGGGGTCACAACGTGTCCTTGGAGGTCTCATGATGTTTCTGGGCTGTTTATGCTGCCTTATGCGCTGGATGTATTTTAGCTTCCACACAAGTTACGGTCTCAGGACTGCTTATTTTTCAAACAAGCCGAACAAGTGATGATTCTTTTTAAAAACCATTTACTACCCTCTCACCCTGTATCCTTTTTCTGGCCGTGATCTGCCCGGTCTCTCTGCTGGTCGTGACATTTATTGGCTGTCTCATCCCTGCCTCTGCCTCTCATACCTTTCTTAACTTACGATTAAGGAATTAGCTCTTCACTTATTCAGTAAATCGCTTCACAGGTACTTGTGTCTAAAGGTTTCAGAAGTCAAGCGATACAACATCCCCTGCTGATTGAGAAAAACTGTAGGTCCACTCACTCTCCAGCTCCCACATGCCAGAGCCTGTGTACAGAGTGTTCTACAAAGTTCAAAGAACACGAGGCTCACCCTCTAAGAGCTTGACATCTGAAAAGAAGACTATGCAGGTAGAAACTGGCAGGAAGAAAATACTGGAAACGGAATTTTGGTCTGAGCTGCTGCTGCAGAGTTATGGCCTGAAGTTAGGGTCTTGAGAGCTAATACTAATGCACTTCATTCTTTGAAGACTTACGTTGAGTGTAGCCCAGAGCCTGGGTTCTGGGGGTCTGACGTCCTGGCTCTGCCACTTACTGTGTGTGTCGCCTTGGGCCAAGTTACTTAATCTCTTGTGTTTCCCTTCAATATGTGTAAGATGAGGATTATAAGAGTATCTGCCCTAGGTCCACCGAGGGGATTAAATGGCACATGCGTGTGGTATGCAGAGCACACCTCCTGACACAGGCTGAGTGCAGTCAGCACTTGCCGTTGACGGTTCCCGAATTCAGAGTGAGGTGTCTTAAGGCTCACCTGAGAGAGTTGTGCTTTGTGAGTTCCAAGGAGCATTGCTTTCCTTCCACACGAAAGCTGCTGGGGTTACCCGTGAGCTCCTTTGTAGTCACTTTACGTTAATTGCAAAGAAAATTCTGTAACAGGCTTCTTCAGGACAAGTTAGTCTTTGGAGTTTTTGAGTTACCTCTTTGATCATATCATACGTGATTGGTCATCACTTCAGGGCACTTCCAGAAATAAGTCTGAAGGCCAGCAGGTGGCAGGTAACACCTTGGAGGAGAGTGAGGCATCACTGCCTCTCTGAGACCCTCCGTGGATACCCATCACCTCCCTCCTCATTTGAGTTCAACACGCATTGAGCACCACTGCCTTTCAGTTCTGTATGAGGCTCCAGGGGTCCAAGGCTGAACAGACAATTCCCATTCTCATGAAACTTAGTTTAGTGGCAATATATGTAAACACATCTAATCCACTGTGATACAAGCACAAATGGAAGCATGTAGAAGGTCAGAGAGGTACACAGGAAGAAGCGTAAGGAACGTTGCACAGACTTGGTGACATCTCAGTAGACTGTGAGTAGGAATAGGGCAAGTCAGCAATCAGCATGGTTTACAGGAGAACTGGACCGTGGGGTGGGGTTGGGTGGGGGGATATGTGATAGGAGATAAAATTGAAAATGGAGGCTGGAGCTAGACCATGTAAAAACTTGGCCTTCATCATGTGGATATGGGGGCCACTGAATGATTTTAGGCAACAGAATGCCACAAGATTTGCATTTTTAGCAGGATCATCCTCACGTGGAAGATGAACTTGCAAAGGATGTAGGATGTGCCAGCAGGTTCATGTCCTCAATGCACGTTCATTGAGGCCAGCAACAGAGTCCTATATCCCTCTGCATTCCTAAAGCCTAGTATTGTGTAGACACTGAAGACAATTTTTGGAATAAAGACAGCCCCAGTTGAAGTTTCCAATTCTGCATCCTCTCCTCAGAACATGCTGACCTGGACCTCCATCTGTCACAAGCAGCTTGACTAGGATCGCAATAAATTCTTTTTTCTTGGCATTCTTTTAACTGGCGCTCTCTATTTACTAGCCCTTCTGTGCAACTGTAGTGTGGTGATGATTGATGCTTATAATTCTGACCCTGAAGTGCTCCAAGCCTTCTAAATCATCCAAAAAAGATGAAAGTATATTCAATATTGCTGTAATGTTTGTGTGTTTTACTGAATTCTTATTCTTTGGAAATTGATGGTTTATCAAGTGCTCGTGTACTTATGTGCATGCAGGGGCAGTGAGAGTCTGTGATCACCCACGACTCTTCACTCCCGCACAGCACCAGGTGAGGGGTATTTATTAGCAATGCACACTCAGAAATTAGCAAGCAAAACAGACCTGGGCTCTCTTCATGCCTAGAAGGAAGCAGGTTGGCCCCAAAGGGGCAGACTGGACAGAGATGAGAGAGGAAGCAGTGGTTAGAGAACAGTGGGAGTGATAAAGCAAGAACTGGACAGACAGCCAGTTGGGCAGTTTCCAAGCACAGCCATGCCGCGGCCCAGCCCCGGAGGAGTGGGGTTCGGGGCCGGGACCCCAGCCTCAGGCTCATGTGCCTTGACCCGGGTCAGATTTTCAGGCTTGGATTTGGCAGGATCTTCCACCAGCTCTGTTTGTATTGCAGTAACAACTGTTCAGTAAAATGCCAAACATTAGCAAGTGAAAACATCAATAATTAGAGCATCCTGTTCACACCGCACACACACCTTATTGTGAAAACCATTATAACTGCTGACAGTATTATTTGGCCCAGAATGAAGAGCTCCAAATGGAAGCTGTGAGGTGGCTCCATTTTGTAACCCGGTTTCCAAAACCAGGCACGTGATGATGTTATTAGGAGGGAGGTTTGCTGTTGGCTTTTTCTTTTGGGGGTTGTATGTTGCAGTGAGTAGAGGCACCTCTTACATTTTCTTGTACAGATTTGTTTTTAAAATCTGCGTGTTTGATCAACAAGTCCTGCCTGTGTCTGGGTGCCTGGTCCCCGCACCGCAGGGATTCTGTTCTGTTTGTCACCCTCTGGGCGAAGGCACTTGTGGACTCTCGAGCTGGCTTTAACATTTTCTGCTCTGAGATTCCAGTGAGTCTCTTGGTCTCTCTGGGTCTTAGTTTTTTCTTTTTCTGACATATTGGAATAATACAAATTCCCTCTTTATAGGGTTGCTGTGGGGCTGAAATAAAACGGTGGATGTAAAAAAGCTTAACTGGAAAGCCTGTGTAGATAATAACATTGTAAATACACTAAAGAACATCATAAATAGTCTAATAAAAAATAGAAATATGTTTCATCAGCAAGCATAATGTCCTCAAAACTTTCCCCAAAGCGGTGTGGAGAAAATGAACCATTTATTGAATTCC